ACGTACCTAACTAAACTAACTTACTTTACGTTACCGTTCGTTACCGTACTACGTACACTACTATACTACTACTACGTAGAAGTAAGTAACGTACTATATATATCTCTCTCTCTCTCTCTCTCTCTCTCTCTCTCTCTCTCTCTCTCTCTGTGGCTGCCAAGACCTCAACAACAAATTTTTTCATTCATTACCTCAGGAAGAGTTAAACAGGTTTTAAGCAAGATTTGAATTTGGCATTTGGAACAGTATAAAACCTATCGACTGCTACAGAAATATCGCCCCTAAGTGAATAAAAAGTTTTAACATTATATCTCACAACATAGGTTGATTTCTTTTTTCTTTCTTATCCTCCATGTACTTCTGATACAATGCCTTCCATGGAAGGCTAGAATTAGTCATTTTTCTTATCTTGTAAACAATATCGACCAATTCAGGTTAAAGAGACCTAGAACTTTCCCCAGTCTACTCAAATTCAGACGCCTTGGAGTCTTTAACATGTAGCTTGCATGACAGTTTTGTAAACACACCAATTTCTGCTAATATATGAATTCCTCCTCTGAGCAACCTGCAGCATTATTCTCAACCAACCATCATATAGGAAACACCACCGAGCATTTATGGAAATGATGGGGCTGTATATCTTTTCAAGGAGAGAGAAAGAGAAACCGGGAAAACTGCAAAAATATCACATACATTACATGTCATTCGATAACAAAACAATAAAAATAACAAGGTTCATAGCCTTTCACGCTAATATCATAGGAAATTGTTTTTTGAGTTACAGGACCACACTATATTCCCCTCATAACCTTTTTAGAAGTAGTAGCACAAAAATACATGTATTTGTTACACACAAAATAATAGAAATTGTTGTATACGCCATAGATCATCAACAATTCAATCTTGAATGATCATCCATTCGGGCTTGACCATGGGATGTTCTTGCAATGCATGTGATTGATTACGAATCCTCAAGTTCACATTCTAGTTCAGCCCTTCTACATATCCGTCGCACCACTAAAAAGAAGTAACCCTGGGCATCGCTAGTACAATCTTCCAGGGTTGGCTGGATAACTTTATGTACATGATAAGTGGCAACGTGGACATGTGCGGCGTGGATATCCTCTCTCGAAGCTGATGACATCTTGTCTGGTTGAAAAGGTTTTGACCTACATCTAATTTTCAGGTTCTGTGAGCTACCTGTGTACGTCAATTAACAATGAACACACAAAATCCATAAACAAAGCACAATTATGTGTGTGCGAATAAATTTTTTTTTTGAGGTTTTTTCAATCAACAATGAACAAACAAAATTCATAAACAAAGTATAATTATGTGTTCACAACTTTTCTTTTTTGAGGTTTTTTTCTGAGGAAGCATGTGTGCATAAAAAACCCAAAAATTTCATGATTGTCCACCGTAGATAAAAAGAATGCAGCAAAATTTCTACGGAGAACTATCTGCAAAATGAACTGGTAAGGACAAAAATTGGGCAAAGGCTCATAAGCATATGCAGATAGATATGTTCAAGTCCCAGCACACAAATAATTTGGCACAGAAACAACTCATCAATTACAGGCTTGCGAAGACCACATAGTAATTAACCACTAGCAAAAAGTCAATAACTGTATGTGAATGTGCAAATGCCAGTAGCTTACACAAATGCAACATATTGCAACAAATTGGCAATATGGACTGCAACGTAGGCTAAAATATGAACTTATTTGTTCTCTCGAATGTATGCATGGAATTTTAATATATATTCATCAAGTATATACCCTGCTGAGCTGCTTCTTTTATTCAATCTAATGTTGAAATTCCGCTACACGATGGACCTTTCAATTCAAATACATATAAAAATGAGATACAACACAATTACAATTCATCAAAACAAAAGATATAACACAGTTACAGCTAATAAAAGACCCTACAAGGCCTGATAGATGGACTCAACAGAGCTAAGCATCAAAATATGTGCACACAAAGGAAGAAAAGAGCAGAGGAGAATTCATTAACATACAGAAAACCCAAAAATCCCAAAGCAACAATCCTTATAGAAAAATTTGGAAACAACCACCAAGGCTAACGCCAAAGCCCTTCAAAATTCAAAGCCAAGGAATACAGCAAAGAAGAACTAGAAGGAAAAATCTTAAAAATCAAAGCTTCACACCTGATTTACTTGAGACCCAACAATCCAGATCTCCACTGTAACACCACCAGATTGTTGCATTCAGCCTCCTATCACAACCCCTTCACTCCCAGCCCATCAAAAACGAAACCCAAATCTCTGATAGATCCAAGCTTCCCAGCCTGAGACAGGAGAGAGCCCGTGAGGGAGAGGGAGGGAGAGAGAGAGGTAGTGGGGAGAGGGAGAGAGAGAGAGAGAGAGAGAGGTGCCGTGACAGAGAGAGGAGAGAGGCCGTGAGGGAGAGGGAGAGAGGTGGTGGTGAGAGAGAAAGAGGTGTGGGGAAGCAAACCAGACAACTTTTTGGGTTTAAATGAGACTGAGGCCATTTCTCGAGAGAGATGGATGGTTGTAAGAGCCTATGGCTGTACGGGGATGAGGTTTTGTTGGGGAGAGAGCAATAAAGGGGTGACATGTAAATGGGTGTGAGAAATTTCAACTCGAGATCAGTGATTCAAAAAGCAGACCGCCCAGGGCCTAGGCGATCCGAAAGGCCTGGGTGCATCGCCCAGGTCTAGGCGGCCCATCTGGGGGATCAATCCCTGGGTGGTTGCCTAAGCGGTACGGAACCTGCTTTGGCGGCGGCCGCTCAGGGGTGGAAAAAAAAATCGTGAGGCCATTTTACGTCATTTTTATTTTTGTTTTTAAGGCCCAAAAATTAAGGTTTTAGGTTCATTTGAAACTGAAACCTAAACCTTATTTGAGCCAAATTTAGAGAGAGAAAATCACTAAAAAAAACTAGATTGTAGTGAATTTTTAAAATCGAAGGGTTACTCAAAGTTATTATATTTACTTTTTGATGTTTTGCACAGTTATTAGGGGGTGTTTTAAAAGATTTTGAGTATTTAGAAATATCTTTGACGTAGAAGTTTGAAAATTGAGCAATCAAACTCAAAGTAAGTAGTTCTTTTTATTGCTTTAGTAATTTGCATTATTTCTTAGATGTCTTCTTTGGGATCTAATAGGAGTAGTGATCCCGGTTGAAAATATGGCTATAACCCAGATACTAATGATAAAAATTGCATAAGATGCAATTTTTGTGAAAATGATACAAAAGGGGGCCATAAACCGGTTCAAGAAACATCTTGCCGGTATCAGGGGTAATGCAGCCCCATGTAAAAAAACTCATGATGTTGTTAAAGAGGAAATATAGAATTTTATGAACTTGGTGAAAATGAAAAAAAATGAGAGATTTGCCTCTATAACGGAGATTAGGCCTGGGATTCAAGTAAATTTTGATGATGATGATGATAGCGATGAGGAAAGGATTGGGGAGGGAAGTCAAGATGTTGAGCAATCCATTATTAGGGGAAAGGGGATAGGGGAAAGGGGAAGGGAGTTGTAATTGCTTTTGGTTCTAAGACTAAGAAGCCTCGAGTTAGAGGCCCTATGGATAGTTTCTTATATCGGCCTAACCCTGAGATTGCAGGAGAGAAAACAAAAAAACAAACCACCATTGAAAATAAAATCAAGAAGTCAGAGATATAGCTGCGTATTATTTGATTACATGGTTTTATGAGGCGGGCATTCCTTTCAATACCGTTCGCTTGAGCGACTTTTATGCTGCAGGAGGTAATTGGCCAATTTTGCCCTGAGATTAAACCCCCAACCCCATATGAGCTTTCAGAGCCTTTTTTAAAAAAGGCAGTGAATGTCACGAAAGAAGCTGTAGAACTTAAAAAAGATACATGGGCTCAGTATGGGGTTTCTCTTATGACTGATGCTGGGAGTGATAGGAAGAGAATAAGTCAAATGAATTTACTTGTTAATTGTCCAGTAGCAACTGTTTTTTTTAGGTCTATTGATGCCTTTGATCATATCCATGATGCTCATTACATATTTCAAGTGATAGAGAAGGGAATCAAGGTGGTTGGGGAGCATCTTGTTGTACAACTTGTCACAGACAATGCTGCTCCTAATGTTGTTGCATTTAATTTGTTGCACATAGCTTATCGTAGAATCTTTTAGACACCATGTGCAACACATTGTATAGATCTCTTGGCGGTTTAACCGAGATATCATGTGCAGTGAAGAAGACCAAGTATGTTACGAATTTCATTTATAGCCACCATATCACCCTCAGCATAATGTGTACCTTTACAAAGAAGAAAGAGATTGTGAGGCCTAGGGTCACGAGATTTGCGACCTGATACTTATGCTTAGATGGCATACATTCGAGGAGAGTGCAGTTGATGCAAATGTTTACCTCGAATGAGTGGAGAGCATGCAAATGGTCTAAGGCTCAGGTTGGAAAGAAGGTGAGAGATATTATACTTTCTAAGGCTTTTTGGCGAGGGGTGAATGACGCTCTTAAGGTATTTTTTCCTCTTATTAAAGTCCTTTGCATGGTTGATGGTGACAATCATTCTATGGGCTATATATATGATACTATGGAGAAATGCAAAAGAGAGATAATCCAAATTTCAATGATGAAGAAACCCGCTACAAACCTGTTTGGGAGATTATTGATGAGAAGTGGGATAAGCAGCTACATCGGCCATTGCATGCAGCTGGTTATTTTTTGAACCCAGCTTTGTTTTATATTGACAAGGATATATACAAACAAATGACACAATTAAAGTCCTGGATTTAATAAGTGTGTGGAGGTGTTGATCATTGATCTTGAAATGTAGGATATTATATGCGTTGATGAGTTGATAAATTATAAGTGCTCATTAAAGTCTTTTGGGAGTCCAATGGCGATGAGACAAATGACCAAAATTCATCCAGGTATTAAATATTATTATATTAATAATATTCTTAAGTTCATCTTCATCAAGTTCAACTATTCAAGTAATCAAGTATTTCTATTATTTATTTATGATTTTTTTTATTTCTTTGCAGCCCATTGGTGGAGCCAACATAGGCGTAGTTATCCAAATTTACAAAAGTTGGTCATTCGGATCTTAAACCTAACCACTTCTTCATCTGATTGTGAGCGCAATTGAAGTACTTTTGAAAAGGTAAGGCCATAAGGGTAATTTGTATAATTTTATAAATAATACATGAACCATAGATATTAGATTTTAATTAGTTCATTTTCATTTTATTTGTTAGGTTCATACGAAGAAAATGAACATGTTTGAATCAAAGAAGTTCAGTGACCTTGTCTATGTCAAGTACAATTGATTCTATAGATTTGCTAAGAGAGATAATGAAGACCCCATCAGATAAAAAAATATAGACAATGCTATGGAGTGGTTAATTGATGATGATGAGGTCGAGGGACATGAAGGATTGACATGGGACATGGTCATGGATGCTTCAGGGACATCAACTGACCCTTCTAGGGCCACTAGAGCTTTTGCACAGAGAACAAAGGTGGAGGAAGAGGAGAAAGATGAGGCAGATTCACAAGAGACGGAGGAAGACAAGTCACAATATGTCGAGGAGGGTGACGACTCTGTCGACTCCGATGAATATGATGCCAAGGCAGCTGACCCAAGATTTTCTGATGATGAATGAATGTTAATTGTTGAATAATTATTAAACTTTGTTATTTTGAAGTTTGAACTTTGATTAAAGTGTTGTGTATTGAACATTTGAACTATTGAAGATTCTTTTGAGTCTTCAAGTATTACTTTTATAGTTTTATAATTTGGTTGGTTGGTATATTATAAGTTTTAATCGGATATGGATTATGGAGTATGAACCGACTTATGGATTATACTTATGCTTATGGAATGTATGCTAAATGCTGATATGTAGTATAATTTGAATATAACAGATAGTTTGATACTCAAATAACTGCAGAATCCTTATTTGGATTCAATTGGGCCTCCCAAGTTTTGGGCGCCGACCTAGGCGCTGGGCGGCCTGGACCCCCCAATCCACCTAGGACCTGCCTAACGCTCTTTGAAACAATGCTCGAAATTAGAAGCTTAGGATCGACGATGATCCATAGGGGTCTCATGCCATGGTAGGGTCCTACAGGATCAATACTCAATTTCTTTTTAAAAATTTTGAGAAGGTTTCTCTCTATAAAATTTCAGGTAATTTCTCTCTAAATTTTGACACAATTTCTCTCTCTAAAATTTTGAGATGCTCTATCTCAAAAATTTGGAGATACTCTCTCTCAAACTTAAAATTTGATATAATTTCTCTCTCTAAAAATTTAAGAAACTTTCTAAAACTTGAAATGTGATATAGTTTCTATCTCAAAAAAAAATTTGTGGTTTCTCCTCTAAAATTTGATATAGTTTCTCGTTCTAAAATTTTAAGATACTCTATAAAAATTAAAATTCAAGGTTGTTTTCCTCTCTAATTTGTGGGGATCTTTTGACAGAAAGAATTACATTTAATAAAAGGGGCAGGTCTAGCATGTGAAAGTAGTATTATTATCAGTTTTATCACACCTTAGACTCAAAATGAACTTTGTAAACATCCTCCCCCAGTGTTTTTAGAATCACACCCTAGACTCAAACATTGTTTTTTCTTGCCTTTATCCCTGTCAAAAAATCAAAAAAAAATTGAGACTAAAATTCCCTTCTCCTCTCTCACTCTCTCTACCCACCCTCTCTCTTTACCCCTTCTCTCTTTATACCTGCCCTCTCCTCACTCCTCTACCCGCCCTCCCTCTTTCTCTATCTACCCGCCCTCTCTCTCCTCTCTCTTTCTCTCTCTAGCGAGATTTTGGGAGAGCAAAAAACATGGCCAGAGAGAGTTTGGGAGAGAGATTTTGGGGGAGAAAGAGGAAAATAAATTGAGTTGAGATAGATTGGGAGAGAGATTTCAGGAGAGAGGGGAGACTGGAAAAAAAATGGGTTGAGAGGATTGGGTTTTTCTCCACAAATTTTTTTCTGTGCGCTCTCTCTCTCTCCCAACCTCTTTCAGCCTAGTCCCCTGCCCCTGCCCCCCCTCTCGCTTTCATGAAATCTCTCTGCCCATTATTTTGCTCTCTCCCAAAATCTCTCTAAAGAGAGAGAGAAAGAGAGAGAAGGTGGGTAGAGAGAGAAAGAGAGGGAGGACGGGTAGAGAGAGGGCATAAGAGAGAAAGAGAGAGGGCGATAAAGAGGGGGATAGAGAGAGAGAGGGCAAGTAGAGAGGGTGAGCGAGAGGTTGGCTAGAGAGTGAAAAAGGAGACTGACATTTTAATCTCAATTTTTGACTTTTTGACTGGGGGTAAATACAGGAAGAAACGGTGTTTGGGTTTAGGGTGGGGTGTGAGACTAAAAGTATTAGGGGAGGATATCTACTAAGTTCATTCGGGAGTATCTATAATTTTCCCTATATTGTATTCCCTCTCTCATGCTACACAAAGTCATGTTTTGGATAACCTAACTTTTTTCTAGATTTTGTGCACACATGCTTTGGCCTTTTTCTTGCTTATGGAAAACATGATTATGTGTTTTCTTGCTTACAGAAAACATGATTATGTGTCCAAAAAAGTTGCCAAACATGTTTTTATACAATATACCTGGGTATACAAAACATGATTTTGGATACCCTAGGATCCAAACTATACATTAATGACAGTCCCTAGTTTAAGTAACCTTCAACAAAAAGCACTCAATATAACAAGTGAACATCCTCCACTGGAGTGACCCATGCATTTCAACTTGACATGCTCTCCTCAAAATGAGAATAATACAAGGAACAAATGAATGGAACTACCTAATTGTAGTGGCTTAGCACTAAATGGAGGCTTCTCTAGCTTTGGAAGGCGATACATTATTTCTTATCTTGATAGTCTTGGCTTTGGCAATCGCAGAATCACCTCTCCTTAAGATGCTCTCCAACACTTCAACCTTCTCTAGTAACAGGCCAGCATTTGAGTTGGCTGATTGAACCAACCTATCTGCAGTTTCTACCGCTGTACATAACTATGAGACAAGTAGGATTATCAGAAAAGGCTAAAAATGTTAAATGAGGTTGACTGGTCCAAAAATAGATTTTGATATCCATTACCTTAAGGGTTAGAGCAGTCCATGAGTGGCCCGTACCTGTCAAAGCCTCATTCAGCTGTTCATAATTTTCCTGATGCAAAATACGGTTAAGTTCAGAAGAAATAAAGGCAAGTAGGAACTGAAAGATAGTCGAAAGTCACATACATTGTAAACTTCTGCAAAAATCACATCAAATAAGATGGATTAGCCACATCATAGAAGGCCTAAAGAAGTAAACCATCAAACAGAAAAAATATGCTTGTGCCCATCACTGGGTCAAATTTAGCTTGCTGCTTCGAATACCATAACTCATTCAGAATAACATAGCCACCTCACTCCGATTCACATGATTGCCACAATAACTTCGCCTTGGCTGGCCCCCTAGCGGTCAATGCCGGTCCCAAGCCCAGGTAAAGGAGTAGGGTTGTGTTAGGTAGGCAACTAGTGTAAAACTTTGCCACAACTTTTCATGAATCCTGAATCTATATTATCTGCTCATGCTAGGGCATTCCCCATAAGTGCTTATGGTCTTACTAAGAGTATAACCCTTGATAGAGTACAATGGCAAAACATAATCCATGTAGCCGATCCCGAATAGTTGGAATAAGGCTCAGATGATGATGATGATGATGACGAGATGCAACATTGAGTACAGCAGGATACTCATAGCCATATCAATGTCTTGGATAAAGAAACTGTCATATCCCTGCTCCTCGTATCCATGCCTGTATCCCAATCTGTAACTTTGCATCATAGGTTGCCACCAAAAGTGATATTGCAGTGTTTACAAAGTTTCCTTTTTTCTGAGATGTGCATATTGTAATGAACAATTAAAAGATCAAAGAGCATTCATGCTTGGTGGGTAAGAGAGGTCGCAAAAAGCCTCATTCAACCAAACATAACCTTCTTTAAGGAAAAAAAAAAGCACCAGGAATAGGACGCAACCAAGTGCAAGAAGGCATTTACTGACATCAGTAGAACAAACCAAGTGCAAGAAGGCATCTGCTGATAACTGTAGAACAAATTTGGGCTTTGGTTTCCACCACATTGCAAATGCTCAAATCCTCACAACACAATGTGGAGTTGTATGTTGTGTTTGGCAAGGGTGAATAACTCTTGAAAAGGAAGAAGCATCTAATTCATTCATGCACCCTCCATTTGGGCTAGGGGATATAGCTCAATTGGTGGAGCTCCGCTCTTGCAATAGTCATTACAACTACAGGTTGAATGTCTAACTTTCCAGGACCAGGAGTAATGATAGTATCCTCACTTTAAGTAATGCGAAGAGATGCAAACATGCCACTAAAAGACTATTGAAGCAAATATCAGCTCTCAGTGGACATTTGGAGATCACACCACACATATTGTCAAGGGTCAAATTGCTCTTCGGCGTACTAACAAGATCTATCTGGACAATAATGACTGAGGTTCTCATCTACCTCCCTAAGACCCCCGAGACTGTTCCTTGGAGTTGGACTAGTCCAGCACTAGTGAAGTCATAGAAGAGGGAGAGGCAGGAAGTCATTCTATACCAAAAGGTCTTATCTTACAGTCATTCTATACTTCTTGCCAGAAGGGTGCAGCAAGAATACACTTCCATATGACTAACCTTTTGCAGTGAGGTGGAAGTGAAACCATACCAAATAGGAACTTACCAACAGATTGCAGCATGACCCATACTATCCCAAACAACCCTAAAAGGATCCAACCTCAGTGCCAAATCAACAATGGAGCAAGAGATGACCCACTATTTCACCATGATCCTGACACAAGATTCAAACAAGATTCACCAGTAAGAGGGTTACCTAAGAAAGTGAATATTCAAGTGCTAGGACATTATGTGGAGCAAGATTCTAGAATCAACTGAGATAGATGGGAACCAAATGAGGCTCTAAATTACCCTTTGTTATGCAATTGATAAGTTCATCTCAGAAATGAGAAAATGAAAGCCTTTGTTTTTCTCCCTTTCTTTTTTTTCTTTTTTTTTTTTTCCTTTTTTTTTTTTTCTTTTTTTTTTTCTTTTTTTTCTTTTTCTTTTCTTTTTTTTCTTTTTTTTTTTTTCTTTTTTTTTTTTT